TATGTTTATTCATGCATATTTAAAAAATGTCATTTCAGTGCAAAGTTGTGTGCAAGTTTTTTATTTTTATTTTCTTTTTAAAGGTAATACCAATGCCAGTAATATTCATTATTTATTAGAGAAATCAATTATTGTTTTTTATTTATTTCTTTTGACTGCTGGCGGCGAAGCTCTGTGGGAGAGCCTTTCCACGAAGATGAAGCACGTGCGTGGCTGCCGCCTGGCAGAGCCTCGTGCCAGGCGGATCGAGGTCGGCTTGCCGGCCGGCTCGCCCGAGGTCTCCGACAACGAGGATGAGACTGGCTTCGACGACACCGCCCCGGCTCCCGCGCCTCATGTGCACGCCGGCTTCACCATAGAGTGGGCACATGCGCATTACAACGCCGCCATGGCGGAGGTGCAGCCTGCGCCAACGCCTCTATCGACGTTCCAGCAGACGTAGGAGGGACAATGGTACAACCTGTTTCTCCTAGAGCAGCACCGGCTGACGGATGGCCAGATCTACGGCGAGCGGGCGAGCGAGGATGGCGTGGCGGCCATGGCCGCGGCAATCCCCAACTTCGTCGTGGAACAACGTGTAATCTACAATGTCGTCGGCGCTGAAGCCGCCACTCGACACGAAGCAGCCACCGCGGGGGCGCAGCTGCAGGCAAACGCGTTACGCGAGCTGCGCCGCCGACAAACCATCAGTCGGCCCGATGGGACCAAGACAGCGCCGGCGCCACCATTGTGGACCTCACGTCCACCGACGATGGAGAGGTCGCGGACTCCTTCGAGGATGAGTACGCCACGGAAGGCGGCGGTGCCTTGTGTCCCATATGAGCCGATCCGTCTTCCACATTGCAGACAACACGCCCTAGTCATCATCAATGAAAATGCCTTTACTGCTTGTAGTTTTGTCCACGAGTTTAGGAGCTCGAATTTCAAGGCTCACAGTCTCGCTAGGCATGCACTTTTGCTCGGAGGTTGGCCTGCCCGAGGAGTTGAACTTCCTTCCTGTAACTGTTTCGACAATCTAAATAAAGCCCTGCGAGAATGTCTAAAAAAACAATGAAAACGCCAGTTTTTCTGAAAAAAAAAGAAAAAGAAAAATATAAGAGTGTTTAGATCATTATTTTTTAAAGAAAAATATCCGAGTAGATTACACTCCAAGATCACGCTTAGCTACCAAAGACTTTTTTATGCAGAGTGTAGTCACCGCTGACGCAGAGTGCTCTGTCCGACGATAAGCAGAGATATCGCCGCTCCTGCTGCCGGCCGCCCGGCGCGCGCTCGGCCCCACCCGCCGGCGAGATGCCGCTGGAGCGCTTCGACCTGCAGATCTCGTCCCGGGAGCTGGTCCAGGCCTCCGACCCTCCCCCGGGCTTCCCGGCCGTGCACGCCGTCTCCAACCTCGACCTCCTCCTCGGCCCCTTCCCCATCTACCTCGTCTGCATCTACCCGCCCCCGCCGCGCGGCCTGGGCCCCGTGCTCGCCGCCGTCCGCGCGGCGCTCCCGGCCTACCTCTCCCGCTTCTTCCCCTTCGCCGGCCGCGTCGTGCGCCACCCGGACACCAACGTCCCCGAGGTCGCCTGCTCCAACGCCGGCGCCGAGCTAGTCGTCGCCGACGCTGCCGGGGTCCCTCTCGCCACCGTCGACTTCGCGCGCGTCGACCGCTCGCTGGGCATGATCCAGATCCCGTTCGACGCGGGGCTCGCGCTGTCTTTGCAGGTGGTCCGGTTCGCGTGCGGGGGGCTCGCGCTGACCGTCGCCACCAACCACCTCCTCGCCGACGGCCGCGCGTTCGTCGTGCTGCTCAATTGCCTCGCGGAGATGGTCCGCGCCGGAGGCGGGGGGCTCTCCCGCGGGCCTGTGCTCGACCGGTCCTCCCTGCTCGCCCCGCGGTCGCCGCCGGTGTACGGCCCGTCGCTGGACGCGGAGTTCGCGAGGTTCACGCCGGCGACCATGATCAATCCCCTCCTGGCCGCGGCCATGGAGCGGCGCCTCTACCGCATCGACGCGGCCGACCTCGTCGCTCTCCAGATCGCGGCGTCGTCCGGCGATGGTCACCGCACCTCGCGCTTCGTGGCGCTGTGCGCGCACGTCTGGAAGCTCCTGGCCCGTGCGGTCGGCGACTCCGACCCCAACTGCCGGATGGCGTGGATCGTGGACGGCCGCAAGTGCGTGGAGCCGTCGGAGGGCGCGCTGGACCTGTACATGGGCAACGTGGTCACCTACACGTCCCGCGAGGCGAGCGTGGCGGAGCTGCTGCGCGCGCCGCTGCAGGACGTGGCGGCCGCCGCGCGCGCGGCCATGGCGTCGGTGATGACTAGGGACAGGTTCCAGGAGCTGGTGGACTGGGTGGAGGTGAACAAGACGGCGTACAAGGACGGCGGGAAGTGGACGGAGGCGGTGAACCTCGGCCTGGGCAGCCCGGCGCTGGTGATCTCCGGCCTGCTCCCGTTCGCCATCGACGGGGACCTGGGGTTCGGGAAGCCTAGGCTGGTCCTGCCGTGGCTGCGGCACGGCCGGCTGGGGTCGGCGTCGGTGACGGTCGTGCCCTGCCCGGGCGGGGACGGGTCGTGGTTCGTGGGCGGCACGCGGCTGTGGCCGCGGCTGGTGGAGGTGATCGAGGCCGGCCCGGAGAGCCTGCTCAAGCCGGTGACCGCGGCGAGCCTGGGGTTCGAGGCGCCCCACGGTTCTCGTTTGTGAGCTCGCGGCGAGCAGTGTGTGGTTCTCTATGAATTCTGTAACTTGTAGAGCTCATTCACAATAGAAGCATTGGGTGAAATTCTATAATGTTCTCTCTTTGAGATTCAAAAATATTTGCTTCCGAGCAAGCAGATTCTCTGCAAGTCTTCTGAATGTATAAACAACCGAGGTTTAACTCCAAGTTGCTCCTTAGGCGTACTGATCTGCTTGTTACTGAAAGATGAACTGGAAGTGACACTGAAACCAATCCGCTGTCGCTGAACGAGCTCTAGAATTCGCACAACGTAGAATCATTAGCCGCAGATCAATGCTGTCTACTGGTACACACAGTGTAACAATGTAAGTAGAGAGGCATCCACATGATGCGTCTGACTGAATTGCGAAGGGGGGAATGTTTTCGCATTACACTGCTCTGGCAAACTAACCTCAAAACTGCTCTAAAACTACTAACCAAAGTTGAATCAAACTAACCAAAGTTGAGACAAGCTAGGATGCAATGTGTTGCATTTCATTGGTCACTGGTAAATCACGTCGAGACGCTACCCAAAAACCTAATTGCCCTCACCTTGTGCAGGTTTTCAAGGGATGGTTTGGGAGAATTGCTCTCCCAGGCAGGTAGTCGTTGGGATGGGGTTGCCGGAGATGCAGCTCGGCACTAGAAACTCGAGACTGTGGTGTTCACACACAACACATCGATTTATTCTAGCAGTTTCCTTTCTTTTCTTCTTTTCCTATTTCCTTTTTACATATTTTCAAAATTATTAATATTTTTCAAAATTCGAGAACATACTTCACATTCATGAGTTTGTTTTTCTAATTTACGCACATTCACCAATTCATGAATGTTTTCTCATATTCTCAAAAAAATAAAATTTAAAAAATGAATATTTTAAATTTTTATCATTTTTTATAATTCATGAATATTTTAAAACTCATGAATACATTTTTCATATTCATGAACAATTTAAATATATGTAAATGGCTGAATGTTTATTAAATTATATGAATATTTTCTGAAATTGGGAAACTTGATTTACCTAATATTTTTTGGGAAAAAAATCAAAGCTTGCCAATAGAAAAACTGGATGAAATTTAAAAAATGGATGAAAACCAAATGGGAAAATATGGCCAATATGGTAAGCATGGGCCAGGAACCTGCGCGTTTGCTCTCTACCCTAGTTTTGGTAAAAAAACTATTTGGAAAATAAATTAACAAAAAACCAACGAAATAAAAATTCTGATCATAAACTGACTGAGAAAAAAATTGCAAGGTTAATATGCATGTAGCTCTATATGGGCCACGATGGTATCAGTTCTAATACTGTCATATGAGATGCACGGACCCTTACACGCGGGTCCACTTTGAGAAATATACTTCCTATATTTTTATTTATTCTGCATATTAACTTTGACCTAAGTCAAACTTTATAAGACGTTACCAGGATATATGAAAGAATATGAACATTTAAAATGGCAATAATTAGGATGCATCTAGATGTGTACTAGACATACCCTATACATTAATATTTGGATTCTGATAAGTGCCACATTATGGCACGAACATATGGCAACTACGAAAGGTTTTTGTGACAAGTGTAGTGAGGATGGCAACTTTCTTTTCTAATGGCAAGTTTCAGTTTTTTTATTTGTTTTTTCTTTTTAAATGGTAACGTTAGATGTAAAAAACATCAGGATCGGATTACTTCGTGCCACATGTGTGGCACTTATCATTTGGATAATTTTTCTATAAACTTAGTTAAATTTATAAATTTTGGCTTTAAACAACGCTAATACGCGGAGTAAATAAAAACGGATAGAGAACTTGGTACTTGTAAGGACGAGCTTTACAAATCAAATTCGAGAGAACCACTTGGTAGGGTGGATATGAGGTGATAGTGTGTGATAGCACCTTTTACATGCTCCAATGCTGCAAGTTTTAAAAAGTCACATTTAGATCTTTTCAAAAAATTCTGAAAAAAAATTGGATGTTCACAAGACATGTGTGTATATCCTAAAAAATTTAGATCAAAATATTGAGAAACAGAGAGGACAAATCTGTATGTGAATAGTGTTATTTCTACCACTGTTCATGTTTTGTCTTCTTTGATACAGTACTATTCATCCTAGATTTGTCATTTTTATTCTTAATAGGTATTTTGAATTTGGATCTGTTTTCTTAGGGGCAGTAGACATATGTCTTGTGAACATCAACAAATTATTTCAGAAGTTTTTGAAACATTTATTTTTGAAATGTGGTATCACGTATCTCACCCGCTTATCACAAGTTTACAACACTGTCCGCCGCCAGCTCATAGACGAGAGCCGTGGGGCGCCTCGAACCCCAGGCTCGCCGCCGTCAGCGGCTTCAGCAAGCTCTCCGGGCCGGCCTCGATCACCTCCACCAGCCGCGGCCACAGCCTGGTGCCGCCGATGAACCACGACCCGTCCCCGCTCGGGCAGGGCACCGCCATCATCGATGCCGACCCCAGCCGGCCGTGCCGCAGCCACGGCGACACCATCCTCGGCTTCCCGAACCCAAGGTCCCCGTCGATGGCGAACGGGAGCATTCCGGAGATCACCAGCGCCGGGCTGCCCAGGCCGAGGTTCACCGCCTCCGTCCACTTCCCGCCGTCCTTGTACGCCGTTTTGTTCAGCTCCACCCAGTCCACCAGCTCCTGGAACCTGTCCATGGTCACCACCGACGCCATGGCCGCGCGCGTGGCAGCCGCCACGTCGTGCAGCGGCGCGTGCAGCAGCCCCGCCACGCTCTCCTCGCGGGACGTGTAGGTGACCACGTTCCCCATGTACAGGTCCAGCGCGCCCTCCGACGGCTCGATGCACCTCCGGCCTTCGATGATCCACGCCATGCGACAGTTGGGGTCGGACTCGCCGACGGCCCGCGCCAGGAGCTTCCAGACATGCATGCACAGCGCCACGAAGCGCGAGGTGCGGCGGCCGCCGCCTGGGGACGCCGCCTTCTAGAGCCCGACGAGGTCGGCCGCGTCGATGCGATACAGGCGCCGCTCCATGGCCGCGGCCAGGAGGGGGTTGATCATGGTCTCCGGCGTGAACCTGGCGAACTCGGCGTCCAGCTACGAGCTGTACCGCGGCGGCGACCGCGGGACGGGCAGGGACGACCGGTCGAGCAGCGGCCCGCGGGAGAGCCCCCCGCCGGTGCGGACCATCTCCGCGAGGCTATTGAGCAGCACGACGAGCGCCCGGCCGTCGGTGAGGAGGTGGTTGGTGCCGACGGTCAACGAGTACCCCCCGCACGCGAACCGGACCAGCTGCAGCGACAGCGCGAGCCCCGCGTTGAACGGGATCTGGATCATCCCGAGCGAGCCGTCGAAGCGCCCGAAGTCGACGGCGGCGAGTGGGACCCCGGCATCGTCGGCGACGACGAGCTCGGTGCCGGTGTTGGAGCAGGCGACCTCGGGCACGTTGGTGTCCGGGTGGCGCACGACGCGGCCGGCGAAGGGGAAGAAACGGGAGAGGTAGGCCGGGAGCGCGGCGCGGACGGCGGCGAGCACGGGGTCCAGGCCGCTCGGCGGTAGAGGGTAGATGCTGACGAGGTAGAGCGGCAAGAGGCCGAGGACGAGGTCGAGGTTGGAGACGGCGTGCATGGCGGGGAACCAGCTCCCGCGACGCGATCCGCAGGTCGAAGCGCTTTAGCGTTATGTTGCCGCCGAGCTTTCTTTTCTTTCTATCGTCGGAGCTCGGCGGAGTAGTGCTCTGTATCCGCGTCAATGTTGACTCCACTCGGTCATCGGTGATTTGGATCACGACGAATACGACTCCATCAACCCCGTTTTCTTGAACGCTTCCGCTCGCGATCTACAAGGGTATGTAGATGCACCAGCAATGCTACATCTACAGGGGTTTTACAGGACCTTTACAGGCTATGCTGAGGTGGGGTGTGTTGATTGGTTGTTAAGATGAAGCGGGCCCCACCCTGAAAATCAGAGGGGGGGAGGGGAGAGAGATTAGTGAGGGGAGTCCGTTAACTCTTGTAAAAGCTTCCCGTACGTCTAGCATTTTTGGTAGATGCACTCCTCTCTCTCGTTGCTAGATAACTCCATAGATTGATCTTGGTGAAGCGTAGAATTTTTTTATTTTCTGCAACGTTCTCCAACCGTGGAATCATGAGCTAGGTCTATGCATAGTTTCTATGCATGAGTAGAACACAAGATTTTGTGGGCGTCGATTTTGTCAATTTACTTGCCGTTACTAGTCTTATCTTGATTCGGCGGCATCGTGGGATGAAGCGTCCCGGACCGACCTTACACGTACACTTACGTGAGACGGGTTCCACCGACTGACATGCACTAGTTGCATAAGGTGGCTAGCGGGTGTCTGTCTCTCCCACTTTAGTCGGATCGGATTCGATGAAAAGGGTCCTTATGAAGGGTAAATAGAAATTGGCATATCACGTTGTGGTTTTGGCGTAGGTAAGAAACGTTCTTGCTAAGAAACTTATAGCAGCCACGTAAAAAATTTGCAATAACAATTAGAGGACGTCTAACTTGTTTTTGCAGCATATGCCATGTGATGTGATATGGCCAAAAAGATGTGATGAATGATGAATGATATATGTGATGTATGAGATTGACCATGTTCTTGTAATAGGAATCACGACTTGCATGTCGATGAGTATGACAACCGACAGGAGCCATAGGAGTTGTCTTAATTTATTTATGACCTGCGTGTCAATATAAACGTCATGTAATTACTTTACTTTATTGCTAAACCGTTAACCATAGTAGTAGAAGTAATAGATGACGAGACAACTTCATGAAGACACGATGATGGAGATCACGGTGTCATGCCGGTGACGATAATGATCATGGCGCCCCGAAGATGGAGATCAAAAGGAGCAAAATGATATTGGTCATATCATGTCACTATTTAATTGCATGTGATGTTTATCATGTTTTTGCTTCTTATTTGCTTAGAACGAAGGTAGTAAATAAGATGATCCCTCACAGTAATTTTAAGAAAGTGTTTCCCCTAACTGTGCGCCGTTGCGAAAGTTCGTTGTCTCGAAGCACCACGTGATGATCGGGTGTGATAGATTCTAACATTCACATACAACGGGTGTAAGCCAGATTTACACATGAAAAACACTTAGGTTGACTTGACGAGCCTAGCATGTACATACACGGTCTCGGAACACAAGAGACCGAAAGGTCGAACATGAGTCATATGGAAGATACGATCAACATGGAGATGTTCACCGATGATGACTAGTCCGTCTCACGTGATGATCAGACACGGTCTAGTGGAGTCGGATCATGTATCACTTAGATGACTAGAGGGATGTCTAATCTGAGTGGGAGTTCATTAATAATTTGATTAGATGAACTTAAATTATCATGAACTTAGTCTAAAATCTTTGCAATATGTCTTGTAGATCAAATGGCCCACGCTAATGTCAACCTCAACTTCAACGCGTTCCTAGAAAAAACCAAGCTGAAAGATGATGGCAGCAACTATACGGATTGGGTCCGGAACCTGAGGATCATCCTCATAGCTACCAAGAAAGCATATGTCCTAGAAGCACCGTTAGGTGACGCACCCATCCCAGAGAACCAAGACATTATGAACGCTTGGCAGCAGCGTGCTGATGATTACTCCCTCGTTCAGTGCGGTATGCTTTACAGCTTAGAACCGGGGCTTCAAAAGCGTTTTGAGTAACACGGAGCATACGAGATGTTAGAAGAGCTAAAAATGATTTTCCAAGCTCATGCCCGGGTCGAGAGATATGAAGTCTCCGACAAGTTTTACAGTTGTAAGATGGAGGAGAATAGTTCCGTCAGCGAGCACATACTCAAAATGTCTGGGTTGCACAACCGCTTGACTCAGCTGGGAGTTAATCTCCCGGATGATGCAGTCGTTGACAGAATCCTTCAGTCGCTCCCGCCGAGCTACAAGAGTTTTGTGATGAACTTCAATATGCAGGGGATGGAAAAGACCATTCCTGAGGTATATTCAATGCTAAAATCAGCAGAGGTGGAGATCAAAAAGGAACATCAAGTGTTGATGGTGAATAAAACCACTAAGTTCAAAAAAGGCAAGGGTAAGAAGAACTTCAAGAAGGACGGCAAGGGAGTTGCCGCGCCCGGTAAGCCAATTGCCAGGAAGAAGCCAAAGAATGGACCCAAGCCTGAGACTGAGTGCTTTTATTGCAAGGGAAGTGGTCACTGGAAGTGGAACTGCCCCAAATACTTAGCGGACAAGAAGGCTTACAACACTAAAGGTATATGTGATATACATGTAATTGATGTGTACCTTACCAGTACTCGTAGTAGCTCTTGGGTATTTGATACCGGTGCGGTTGCTCGTATTTGTAACTCAAAACAGGAGCTGCGAAATAAGCGGAGATAGGCGAAGGACGAGGTGACGATGCGCGTCGGGAATGGTTCCAAGGTCGATGTGATCGCCGTCGGCACGCTACCTCTATATTTACCTACGGGATTAGTTTTAAACCTCAATAATTGTTATTTAGTGCCATCTTTGAGCATGAACATTGTATCAGGATCTCGTTTAATACGAGATGGCTACTCATTTAAATCCGAGAATAATGGTTGTTCTATTTATATGAGAGATATGTTTTATGGTCATGCCCCGCTGGTGAATGGTTTATTCTTGATGAATCTCGAACGTGATGTTACACATATTCATAGTGTGAATACCAAAAGATGTAAGGTTGATAATGATAGTCCCGCATACTTGTGGCACTGCCGTCTTGGTTACATAGGTGTCAAACGCATGAAGAAGCTCCATGCAGATGGACTTTTAGAGTCTCTTGATTACGAATCATTTGACACGTGCGAACCATGCCTCATGGTAAAAATGACCAAGACTCCTTTCTCTAGAACAATGGAGCGAGCAACCAACTTATTGGAAATTATACATACTGATGTTTGCGGTCCAATGAGCGTTGAGGCTCGCGGTGGCTATCGTTATGTTCTCTCTCTCACCGATGACTTAAGTAGATATGGGTATGTCTATTTGATGAAACACAAGTCTGAGACCTTTGAAAAGTTCAAGGAATTTCAGAATGAGGTAGAGAATCAACGTGACCGAAAGATAACATTCTTACGATCAGATCGTGGGGGAGAATATTTAAGTCACGAATTTGGTACGCACTTAAGGAAATGTGGAATTGTTTCACAACTCACGCCGCCTGAAACACCTCAGCGTAACGGTGTGTCCGAACATCGTAATCGCACTCTATTGGATATGATGCGATCTATGATGTCACTCACTGATTTACCGCTATCATTTTGGGGATACGCTCTAGAGACAACTACATTCACTTTAAATAGGACACCGTCTAAGTCCGTTGAGACGACACCGTATGAATTATGGTTTGGAAAGAAACCTAAGCTATCGTTTCTAAAAGTTTGGGGATGCGATGCTTATGTCAAGAAACTTCAACCTGAAAAGCTCGAACCCAAGTCGGAAAAATGCGTCTTCATAGGATACCCTAAGGAAACCATTGGGTATACCTTCTACCTCAGATCCGAAGGCAAGATCTTTGTTGCCAAGAACGGATCCTTTCTGAAGAAAGAGTTTCTCTCGAAAGAAGTAAGTGGGAGGAAAGTAGAGCTTGATGAAGTACTACCTCTTGAAACGGAAAGTAGCGCAGCTCAGGAAGATGTTCCTGTGGTGCTTGCACCGACTAGAGAGGAAGTTAATGATGATGATCAAGGTACTTCGGATCAAGCTCCTACTGAACTTCGTCGGTCCACAAGGACACGTTCCGCACCAAAGTGGTACGGCAACCCTGTCCTAGAAATCATGTTGTTAGACAACGGTGAACCTTCGAACTATGAAGAAGCGATGGCGGGCCCAGATTCCAACAAATGGCTTGAAGCCATGCAATCCGAGATAGGATCCATGTATGAAAACAAAGTATGTA